GATATACCTTAGGAACTTGATAGGGAAAGGCTGGTCTAGAATAGTAGACAATTGTTCTACGGTTACTGTAATGCCCATTGTGAGCTGTCAGCTTAGTAAGATTTCTTGGGGAGATATCACACTCTGATGTTACAGGATGTCTCTGTAAGAGTGGTGTGTGCTGAGGTTAGAGTGGTGTATGTTAAGGATGGAGTGGTGTGTGGTAAAGTTAGAGTGGTGTGAGGTATGGCTAGAAGAAAGTGTGGTAAAATTAGAGTGGTGTGTTCTAAGGTTCCAGTGGTGTATGCTAAGGTTCCAGTGGTGTGTGCTAAAGTTCGAGTTGTGTGCTCCAGAATTAGAGTGGTGTGTGCTAAGGTTTGTGTGGTGTATGCTAAGGTTAGGGTGGTGTGAGCTAAGATTAGAGTGTTGAGCCCTAAAGTTAGAGTGGTGTGCACTAATCTTAGAGTAGAATTTGGTAAGATTAGAGTGGCGGGCCATAAGGTTGGATTGACGTGTGCTAAAGTTAGAGTGGTGTGCACCCAAGGTTGCAGTGGCATGCGCTAATGTTCAAGTAGTGAACACTAAGGATAGAGTGGTGTGATCTAAGGTTAGAGCGGTGTGCGTGAAGGTTCGAGTGGTGTGTGCGCTAGGGTTAGGGTGGTAAATGTTAAGGTTAAAGTGGTGTATGCTAAGGTTAAAATGGTGTGTGCTAAGGTTAGACTAGTGTGTGCTAGGTATTTAGAGTTCTGTGTGCTAAGGTTAGAGTGGTGTGCAATAAGGTTTGATTAGTGTGTGCTAAAGCTCGAGTGTTGTGTACTAAGGTTCAAGTGGTGTGTTCTAAGGTCAGAATGGCATGCAGTGAGATGACGGTTGGTTGGAAGAAAGAATAAATTATATGAAAGTACTTTCACAAAAAGAGTGGTGAATGCAGGGAAGAGCCCCAAGTCAGAGACATTGGAAGAGCAGAATACTGGGTGCTAAATAATTTCCTAAAAAGGTAGGATATTGAACTGAATGTGACATTTAGCTGATAATATCTTTTAAAATCAGTTTTAATGTGCAAAGTGAACCCCATCAATCTAACCATATCATCAATAGATAACCCTCAAAATGACCACATACCCCCTTCATGCTGCATTGCTTTCCACAATAATGTGTTGCCAGAAAAGGGATAGATATATATTTTGCACGTGCAAGATATGCATTTTTTTTTATTCTAAGCTGTAATTACATGCTCAAACGATGATAAATACAGAATCTCACTGATTGAAATAAACATTTAGATGTGGGTGTCTCCCTCTTGCCTTTGTCTGTGTCCCCCCCTACCCCCATCCGTCTCCTGGTGACGCAGGGACCTCTCTGCAGTGCAGTGTGAGTCACTCGAAGTCCGAGGAGAGTTTAATCACTGTGTGGATTAGGCAGGAATGTGTTTGTGTGTTGATTGTGTGTGTATTTACTGCTTTTCTTTAACACAGTATGTGAATGTGTCAATATGACTGTTTAGGGAACAAATCAGCTCAAAGATAGATAAAGTTCAACATTAGCCACAAGAGCTTATGATTAATCAGTACAAGGAACTGAAAATTGCAATGAATATATACATCATCGCAGATGACCCATAGGTATTTTAACTTGCTATTTGAATGTAATTATTTAGCTTACTGTTTTTGTTATAGAAATATTTTTCTTATCATCACCTTACAGTCCCTTACATTAAAAAAAAGACATAAAAATATATGCAATATAATTTAAATATAACTCTATCGTTCTCTCTGCCTACCTGTCCGTTTTTCTTGGTTTGTCTGTCTGTCTGTCTGTCTGCTTGCTCGCCTGTGTCTCTCTGCATTTTTGCCATTTCTTACTGTCATACACACGCTGTTTTATACGCACGCATATTCGGGTGAAAAAGAGTATATATAAACCAAAAACAATTTCACGGTTCTTTGCACACATTGCGTATTAATGACACACGAAGATGACACACATTATCTGATCATTACATGCTTGTTACACTCATATTATACAGTGTTAATTATCTGACTCTGACACATCTCCACTGTGCTTTATAAATGTGCGTTGGGAGTGCAAATACACAATGTGACAAGGCACAAAAATTTACTGAGTGGAAATGCACAATACACACTAGACAGTACGTGCTATAGCTATACTATTACTGCATCTATACAACAAATATTGTGAATAGACAATACACACAATAGCTATACTGATCCTGCAACTACACAACCTACACTGTGACTAGAGACTACACAATACACACTGTAAACTGCAACTATACAAAATACACTCTGGATTTACTTATACTGTAACTACACAACACGCACTGTAAATACACCGAGACCTCCACTACACAACATACACTGTGATTAGACAACACACACTAATTACACCTAGGCTGCAAATACACAACACATGCTTTATCTATACTGAAGCTACACAACATTTGCTACAACTAGACAAAACACACTAATTACACTGAGACTGCAACTACACAACATTCACTGTGACTGGAAACACAAAACTCACACAATGTACCTGTGATGAGACTGCAGCTACACAGCTGACATTGTGACAAGACGATACACACAATAACTATACTGATATTTATACAAAATACACTAGACTAGAGACTAGAAAAAATTATATTAATAGTGCAACTACACAACACACACTAGCTGTCCTGAGACTACAACTATACAACACACACTGACTCTAGACATCACGCAAAATAATTATTCTGATACAACAACTACACAACATACATTGTGACTAGACAACAAACATTGTAATTACACTGAGATTGCAACTACACATAGTAACTGTACTGAAACTGTAACTACACAACAAACACTGAAAGCTAGAATTGTGACTAAACTAAATGTTAAAATTCACACTCATACACACACTGTAACAGTGCTGAGAGTACATCGACACAACATACTCTATGACCACCCAGCACACGCTATAACTACACTGAGATAACAAGTACAAAACATATATTGTAACTAAAAGACACACTATAATTATACTAAGATTGCCACTACACAAAATACACAGTGACTGGATAACATTCTTCAATTATACTGAGACTGTAAATACACAACATATACTGTAACTAAACAACACACAGTTATTATACTGAAATTGCAATTACACAACACAACTGTGACTGAAAACACACTCTATATGTATTATACACACTATAACTATGCTGAGAGTGTATCACCACAACATATGCTATGACCAGGCAACACACACTATAACTATAATGGAATAGCAAATACTCAACATACAATGTGTGACAGATTGATCTGGTCACTATGATAACTGGTGCAGGACTCTAGACCAATCTCTCCCCAAAAAGAATACAGTCACATTATTCACCACTTCACCCTGTGCCCTTACTCTGCAGGACATCCAGAGCACCTAGTTGTACTGTCCAGCTAGCTACAGGGACTCTGGTAAGCTATTTTGGTTTATGCTAGGCACAGAGCGATTGTCGGGAGATACCCTAAATCGACTTGGAACGGGTTTCCAGACAAGAAATATGCTGCGGTCTGGTAAAATTTCAATCGGGTATTGATGGTCCCTTCACCATCAACCAGAGTGCTGTTTGGGGGGTGATTGGGGAGGTAATTAGGTATCTAATGACACCATGGACTTGTGGGAGCTCCCTTCTCTAAAGCTACATGAAGTCATTATCAGTGACTGGGACTTATCATCAATCAATGTGGAACTCTGTGACAGATCGGGGAATGGTCACAGTCAGACTTTATCCAGTGATTTCTCGGGCTAGACACCTCTAATCCAAGCACTTTTTCAATAGTTTTCCTCTCGGAAGCAGAGCTCACTAGGGATGTATGACACTTGTGGATATCATGTGGAGAACACTTGGTTTTAAGATGTTTTTGTATAAGCACCTTGGTGTCGAGTAGTTAATTAAATGATATGACTGTTGATTAACACCACCAGGGTGGGATTACATTGTGTACCTCGATGACTCCCTTTTGGGAATGTGTGTATATAAACTTTCAAGCTGCTGAATAAATGCTGTACCTGTTTTACCCTTAATCAAGCCCCGGCTGAGACTTGATGAAGGGTAAGGCAGGTATGGCATTTATTCATCTTTGTTATGAATCACTCTAGCTGATTTACTCCATAGAAAGGGAATATTAGGTGGAGATATTCAGTCATAGTTTAGGAACACTGTCACACCTGACGGCAGCTGTGGAAGTGAATGGAGAGGCTCTAAAAATGGCTGAGGTGGCTAAGGTACCCTTAAAGACCCGCTGGAAGTGAGAGGCCATGTTGCCAGCAACAAGTCCAAGGCTACCTTAGTCACCAAGCTCATGGAGGTGAATCAAGCCAGCATCGCATCCACTAGCTCCTCTGTGGAGACAGAATTCCAATGAGAGCTGAGGACCAGACTGGCATGATATGGACCCAACCCATTTGCCGAAATTGTTTAGGCTACTATGGTAAGGATGACTGCTATCCTGCAGGCAGAAAGGCATAATTAAGTTCGGCTGTCACACTCCAGCATTTAGGGCAAGACATGGTGGCTCCTCTGGCTGTCCAGTCTGGAGGATAAAAGAAAATTATGTTTGCTGCATTTAAACCCTTCGTAGAGATTGAAGGAGGTATTGATGGGTATCTACAGGATTTTGAGTGACAACGCACTTTAGACATCATGGACCCAGTGTATTGGGTCTCCATGCTGGCCGGAATGCTATCTGGGTGATCCGATGAAGCTTATAGGATCATCCCAATGAGGATTTACAGAACTATGACTTGGTGAAGGAGACTCTGTGCCAGCCTGGTATGCCATAACACCAGAGGCTTACCATCAGCGGTTTTGAGAGCTGGGAAAGGGAGAAAAGGACTTTTATACAGAGATGGCATATCAATTGCCATTAACTGAATCAACAGCTGCCAGGTCACTACCATGGAGGAGGTAGTACAGTTGATGTTATTAGAAAGGTTTTATAAACACATGTCCCCTGATGTCGGAAAGTGGGTCCAGGACCAAAGACCCCTTACAGAAGCCACATGATTGGCTGATGAGCACCAGGATGCCAGAAGAACTGACCAGCAATTACCCCAGATGCAACTCTGACACCCTAACACATACACCAGATCAAACCTGCCTTAACAGCTGGGTCTCAACCAGCTCCCACAAGTACAGGACCAGCTATGTGGAGCGGAGTTTGTTGCTATGGCAATTAGCACTACACAGTATACTTACATTGAGACTACAGCTCCACAATATACTCTACGGATTGACAGCACTGTAACGAGAATATACCCCTACACGCAGGATCCAGCTAAACAGAGGCAAATACAGAGGAGAGATACGTCTACCGGACCTTAGAATGGCCGGACTCGACGTATATGAGAGGAGACAGAGCCAGGAACAAACCGAGGTCAAGGGCACAGAGAGACAGCGTAAACTAGGACAAGCCGGGGTCTGGTACACGGAAAACAGCAAGCCGGCAAACAGTACAGATAAGGATAAAGCGAAAACGAAGTCAGAATACGAAGCCAAAGTCAATACGAGAAAACACAACTGAACACCACAAGCGCTAAAGGGAACTGAAACAGAAACCACGATAGGGCAACGAGCTAAGGGAAAAAGGTAAGTTAAATAGCTTTTAAACCAAAGTGATTGGCTCCTGTCACTTCCACACCCCCTATAGGTAATTGTATAGGGAGTGTGGTATGACAGGAGCCAATGGGAGCCTTTTGGCAATTAGGCTCCCACTGTCTCTTTAAGAGCGCGCCCGAGACTCGCGGCGCGCTCTTAGTTTCAGGCGGGACACGTGACCGCTTCACGCGGTCACTGCCCGCCTTCCATCTGAAGCAGTCGGATGAGCCGCGCGCGGCTCGTGCAGCCGCAGGACCGCGCGCGGCTTGAAGAGAGGACCGCGACCGGCCCCCGGTTAAGGTAAGTAACGCTACAAGCACAGAGTGTATTTACATTGAGACAGCAACAACCAGTGGCGTACCTACCTCATTTCAGGGGTCCCGGCCACAGTCGCGACCCCTGTGACCGTGGGCCCCCTGGATACCTTCTGGGCCAGTGCACAGCCACACCGGCCCAGGTCTGCGGGTGTCTGGCAGGAGGGGAGAGCTATGCTGCTCCCCTCCTGCCTGTGTGTAGCATGGCCGAGCAGTCTGTCAGGAAGTGCTCACTTAGAGCACTCGCCGTCTCTACTGGGACAAAGGCGCCCCCCTCCCACCCACACTGAAGCCCCACTGGACCCCAGGGACAGATCCATGCCAGCTCTCCAGGTAGGGGGGGCTGGCTGGATATTTTTAAATGTAAAAAATATGAATAATTTGTGTGTGTCTGTGAGTGTATGTGTGTATGTCTAAGTGTGTGTCTGAATGTGTGTGTGTGTCTGTGAGTGTATGGGTGTGTGTCTGTGTGTTTATGTCTGTGAGTGTGTGTCTGAGTGTGTGTGTGTGTATGTCTGTGAGTGTGTGTCTGAGTGTGTGTGTGTGTCTGTTAGTGCATGTGTGTTTCTGTATGTATGTATGTGTGTGTCTGTATGTGTATCTGTTTGTTTGCATGTGTGGGGGGGCGGGAACGTATGGGGGGGTGAGGACTTATGGGGTGGGAGGTAGATGTATGGGGGGACCCCAGGGCAATTTTCGCTCCGGGGTCCCGTGGTTTCTAGTTACACCTCTGGCAACTACACAACATAAACTTTGACTAGATAACACACTGTAACTATTCTGAGAGTGCAACTACACAAATTATTTATTGTTACTATTTGTTGTCACTATAGTACTCATAGAATAGTGATAACAACTATACAACACATGCCAGTGTATGGTGGATATGGATAATCATATACTAAACTTGTTTGATGGTGTACTTGTACAACACACATTGTACATGAAACTGAAGCTACACACACACACACACACACACACACAAACACATATCTATCTCTCTATATAGATTTATGCCCACAACAAACACATAGCTCTAAAACCCTGGATTTTTACAAATTAAATCAGAATGGGAAAAAAAGAAGTAAAACAGCTGATCTGGAAAAATTCTACAATTTCCTCATTGTCACAACTTGGCTCAGTCTTTCCATTTGGATTTAATTCACAAACATTCTGAGTTTTGATGAATAACCTTAAATGTGTTTTAAAGGTCACATCAAGAAACTAAGACTATACATTCACAACATTTACACTGGAGCGTCTTTATACACAACACAATTCTGCAAAAACCTGAAGCTGCAAATATACTACAATTACAAAAAAAATTGGCATTATAGCCAACACACACAAGAACTACACAACACCTTACAAAACTGCGGCTCTGGACGCACAGCAATTACACATAATTGTTTACACTTTGTGTCTACACAACACATACTCAAATAAGGCTAAACATACACAACACTTGCACAAGAAATGTTTACGCAATATAATCTGAGGCTATACAAGACTTTATGAAAATTAAAAAAAACAATATGTAGAGTGTGATTCACAATATGCAATGGGACAACACAAAAGATATAAAAAACAATGCTATGTATACAAACCACAGCATTATAATTGTACACAACATGCGTTGTGACTAAACAACAAGCCATGAAACAAATACCATCCATATACAATGAAACAGTTACGTCACTCCACACTACACTCTAAACAATTTGCAGTATAATTAAGCAATTATTGTGAATACACAACACAGTGAAAAAACATTTATATTTAATGTGACTATATAAAAAACAGATTGTATTGTGATGCTAGATTATGAACTTATAAATTACACACTGTGACAAATATATACAATCATTGCACATGCCAAGTTTGCTATACAACAAACGGTGTATACACTGGAAATTCAATACACAACAAATCGCACAAAACAGGACTGGTTACACACTTCTTGTGCACATTCTTCTCAACACAACTAACACAAAAATAACGTTAAACAAAAGGTAAAATAATTAGCAAAACAAAGTACACACACAGAATTAGGCACCCCCTACCCACACAGGCACAAACTGCAGTAACACACCCACACACTGCAACAACAGTGCCGCACTGCGACAAACAGATATACACACAGATAGTCACAACTAACACAGCAAACATTTTGTATAAAGTATATATAAACCATCCGAAAAAGTACAGATTTAATAACACGGCTTAAGAGATGACACAAAATGGTTAATGCTCTGAATGTAAGTAAATTCATTATTTAAATGATCACTGTGCCTGACATGTATAGGGTTAATAGTCAAAATCCTTCTGACTCTCCAAAGAGTGATAAAAAAAATGATGTGTGACTGGTGAGGTTTGAGATAAGCTTCAGATGCCCAGAAAGTATTTGGGAAATGGAGCAATGCCCTGCAAGGGTGCTAATAAAAGGGGTTAAAGAATAAATCTCAGGTTAAGGTGAAATGAGATGCATATCTCGGGCAGGATAAGGGATAAATGAATATAAAGCGTCTCGGATTTACAGGAGCTTTTCAAATAAGTGACGGGAAAAGGTTATTTGAATGATACACTTCAAAGGTTTCTTCAAGGAAACATTAAAATGATGATTGTGTCAGGAGTCTACGTGCCACATCGATGTTTCTCCCCTATGGCATTGATGAGGTTTACTATATCTTAGCTTACGAAGGTTAAAGGGATGGTTTCTACTGCTTTATATCACATAAGGGTTAAGGAGAATGGTGGTCTGCTTGGAGTGAGCGGAGGACAGATAAATGGAATAATTTGGCAGTGAAGGGGTTAACTGCTCGATAAACTGACGATTTCTGTAGAAGAATTGAAGGTGACATATTTATCGGCAATGACAGGCGCTAAAGAAGTGACACCCGTAGGCCATTGGGTATAGATAAATAGTGGAAGTGCACTCAACCCTTCGTCAAGGGATCCAGGGTGCTCCAATGGACAAGTCCCAGTACCAAAATGGACCAAATGTAAAATTGTTAAATGTAGAAAATAATCCAGGCACTCCAACGAATTCCAAAATATAGGCAATTTTATTTAGAACCAGGCGCTACACAGCAAAGTTTCGACCGCTTAGAGCCTTTATCAAGCGTATGCCATTATCATGGGTACGAGGGGTTAATATGGTGGTAGATTACATTAAAGAAGAATCCTGCTCTGTAGTCCTTTGGCAGGAATAAATGCAAGGGAGAAATATCTTACAGGTTTTTGGCAAAAATGGAGCTAAATGGATGAAGTTTTACTGTCCCCTCGTATGAAAAGGAGATCATCAAGTGAATCTTGGAAGAGATCTGTTAGAAAAGGAACATGCTCAAAAGGGATGTGTTAGTGAGGAGGTTAAGGGGCTAAGGGTCTCTAGGGGTTAAAAGATTAGTAATAAGAGACAATATTTCTGAAAAGGATTTATAGGAGGGATACTAAAAGGGAATCTGTTGGGAAAGAGTTTAGGGGAGAGTAGTCCAGAGTGAATTCTTTGAGAACCTATTAAGGAACTTAAAAAGGTTCTGTAAATAACGGTGTCAGGAATGATGCATGTAAGAAATCTATCGTGAAAAATGTATGTCACAGGGTTCTAATAGATTCGACAATAAAAGGGTTACAGGTGCGAGGCTTAGTGTGATGCTCACATGTGAAATATCGGGTTAACCCCTTAAGGACCAAACTTCTGGAATAAAAGGGAATCATGACATGTCACACATGTCATGTGTCCTTAAGGGGTTAAAAAGCTGTTGTTCAGAAGGAATTCTTTGAGAACCTATTAAGGTACTGAAGGATAAAAAGGTTCTGTAAATAACGTTGTCGGGAATGATGCATGTAAGAAATAGATCATCAAAAATGTATGTCACGGTAAAAGGGTTACATGTGTGATGCTTACATGGGAAATATACATATAGGGTTATATATGATATGTATTGATCCTGATTCACATAAGATATGTATTGATCCTGATGAAAGTCCTGGACATAGGACTGAAATGTTGATGGTGATTTTAATGATTTAAAATAAAGACTGGACTTTTTAACCCTGTGAGTGCTGCTACCTCTTTGGATACATATATATAGGGTTAAATAGCCATTGTTCAGAAGGAATCTGGGAGCAAAAGCATAAAGAACGTGATAGTATGAAAGCATGTGGCTGTATAGTGATTAGTTGAAACATACTCAATAGACTTATAAAGGTCAACAAAGGGTTAAGGGTGAAATGCCAAGAACAGGTCTGTCAGGGGTTAGTAAAGGGGTTAAGGGAATAATAGTTGTATTAGATGTCAGTAAAGGGGTTAAAAAGTGAAGATTTAAAAAAATGTTTGTAAGGGGTTAAAGGAATCCTGTACTCACGTCAGTGAACGGGTTTAAAAAAGTGATGTTTAGAAAACATCTGTCTGTAAAGAAGGAAGTTAAAGGAATCACACCCAAAAGGGATCAGCACATGATGGGGTTAAAATGATAATGCTAAGGCTGGATCTTTGTTTATTATGGGAATCAGCATATGTGGAATCTAGTGGTAAAGGGGTTAAAGGATTGATGCTACAAAAAGGAACTACTAGAGAGTTAAATGGATTGTTGTCAAAAAGCATATGTAAGAGAAAGAGTTAAAATTCATGATTCTGAAAAGATGTCCTGGTAAGAAGACTAAAGGAATTAGAAATGATCTGTCAGTGAAGGGGTTAAATTAGTGTTGCTAAGAAAAGATCTGTCAGTAAGAGGACAAAGACATTCATACTCTGCTGGAATCTGTCACGGACCGGAAATGTTCTGTGACATAGGGGGTTAAAAGAATCGTGGTCAGAAGGGATCTAACAGTGAAAGGGTTAAGAAAGTAATCATAAAAAAAATAGTTTAAGAGATGGCTGTCCAAAGGAAATCTTTCAGGAAAGTATTCAATATAGTGGTATCGAGAAAGGGTCTGGCAATTGGGTGGATTTATGGACTGATGTGGATAAATACTGTATTTTTTCACGGAGGTTTAGGGTGATAGAAAAGATTGATCATGAAAGGGGTAAAATAAATCATCATCAGAAGGGATCTGTTACTAAAAAGTTAAAAATCTGATCCCCAAAATGATCTGTCAGTGTTGAAGTGAAATGACTTATCTTCAGAAGGGATATTTCAATGAAGGAGTAGAGTAATTTCTTCTAAGAAAGGGATTCAGGAAGGAGATAGGAAAACATGTTCAGGTGGGATCCGCACGAAAAGGGTTAAAATAAAACTGATTCCAAGAAAGTAGTTGTTAGTAAGAAGAAAAAAATCATGAGAACAATAGATGATGGCAGAAAAGAGGTTAGAATGTCAATTTTCTAAATGTCTAAACAATGAAGAGGCTGAGATGTTACTGAGAAATAAAATAATTTAGGGAAGTGATGCTCTGTGGAGCTGTAATAGGAAAGTGATATTTTAGTGAATTCAGCTCTGTGACCGTGGTAACAGAACAGTTAAATGAATTATACTTTGTATATATATGTCTAATAAGCAAAATGCATGAGAGGATTTGTTAAATAATGAACTACAAGGGGTTAATGTGTCAATTGTCTCATCCGTGACTATTTCAGATTGAGATTTAACAGAGCTAAAGGGACCAGGCACATTACCTCTGGTGCCACGGGTATCATGGAATGACTTAAACAAGTCTGGGGCAGAAAATGGCTAAAAATGGAAAAAGACTCTAGGTGTTGCTATGCACTGCAAGTCTTCAAATAACGAAGAGGTTAAGTGGATTTACGTTTGGCAGATTTGTACATCAAAAGACAAGTTAAGTGAGCAAGATAATAGGCAGTGAAAATGTTGAAAAAAATATATAATGTATCACATGTTCCCTCTTACCTTCATGACAGGGACTTACCAAATGTGTTACCCCTCCCATCTCACTCCCAGACTGAAGAGATAATAGCACCTGCAGAGAGATGACTGTCATCTATAGTAATGGATGGTTAAAAAAAAAAAAAGTGGGTGAGAATGAATGTGAGTTTGTGTGAGTAAAAGAAAGAAGGGAGCACAATGGTGGTAAGAATTAAGGAGAAAGAATGTAAAAAGGAAGGCAGCAACAGGGAGTAAAAGAGGAGAAATAATAAAAGTATTTAAAGCCAGAAGTGATGAGGGGGAAAGGATGAATGAAAGAATAGATGTTACAGTATAGGTGTTAGAATGGAGGCAAACAAACCTTTCAACTGGTAAAACAAGAGTGAGTTAAGAGGACAAAGAAAGGGCATGGAATGAGTGAGTGAAAGAAGGAGGGAAAGAGAAAAGAATGAATGAGCAAGGTAAGGAATGACAATTTGGGGATAAGTGGTGGTGAAATAGGACTGGGGAAAGGGGGAATAATGGATAATGTGAGAATAGAGGGTGAAGGAGAAAGATGTTATCAGTGATAAGGATGAGTTGGCTAAGGGAAGAAGTGTAGATGATAAATGGGAAGGTGAATGGACTAAAGCAAGAAAGGAAATGTGCACTATGAAAAGGAGATGAAATATATGACTCATCCACAGGAGACTAAACAAGGGAGGAGGACGGGAATGAGAAATGGAGGCAGAGAGAGAAAGATGGAAAGATTTCTGAGATATGGATTTGAAACAAAGGGTAAATAAACAAAGAGATGATTAGTAGGCAAGAGATACAGGAAAGTGATAATAATGGGGGATAATTGGGATAAATTGATATCAGCTGAGGAGTGATAAAGAAAGGAGGTGAGGGAGAGGGGTTAGGGATAAAGAGGAATACATTTGTTTTCTATACAGAAAAGTTAGAAAGGGTGTCTAGCAGTGTGTCAATACCATCTAAAACAATCATCTCCCCTCCATTCCAGCACAGTGACCCAGAACTGATTACATGGAACCATCAACAACATAATAGGTATTTGTCCTTGCTCTCCTCCCTCACCCCTTTCACTATCTGTCATTCCCAGGCCTGCTTCTCCACTGGAGATAGACGCAAATAGTGACGTCACCAGCCAGTTTCTCTTCCTCTCATCTGCAAATGACAATCAGAGAGAGAGAGGGAGAGAAGGAAAGAAACGAGGAGGGAGGAGGGAGGAGAGTAGTGATTCATACACTGGGTCCCTAAAATGTATATATATGTGTGTGTGTGCAATCTTCCATGTCTGCATACCTATAATCAAACTGTCAGTTAGTCTATCTATCTATCTATCTATCTATCTCTCACTATCTAGCTAGTTACCTGTCTGTCTGTCTATGATATGTTTGTCTGTCTGTCTATGATGTTTTTTCTATATGCCAATCTGTAATATGTCTGTTTTATTTTCTATTTAAAAACATAGTTAGAGAGACAGAGAGAGAGAGAGAGAGAGAGAGAGAGAGAGAAGAGAAACATGCATTTACAGACAGGTAACAGTTGAGTATGTGGACAGAAAGGATGTACACAGGAGATAACATGAAGATTGACAGCCTGAACCAAAGAGTGGGCATCTGATGAGGATAAGGAGAGACAGAGAAAGATATATCAGAGGTAAAAGAAAGGTGAGAGAATCCAGTCTTAAATAAGACACAGAAGACTGAAATACAAATACAGTGTTAGAGTTAAGGTCACATAATAAGGAATGTTGTACAACAGGTAGATTTAACTTATTTCATACATTAATTTGGTTTTTTACGTCGCTGTATGTTTATGTCTGTTCTCTATGTGTGTGCCTGTCACTGTGTGTGTGTGTGTGTGTGTGTCTGTCTGTTTTCTATGTATGTGTATGTCACTGTATGTTTATGTTTGTTCTCTATGTGTGTGCCTGTCACTGTGTGTGTGTGTGTGTGTGTGTGTGTGTGTGCGTGTGTGTCTGTCTGTTCTCTATGTATGTGTATGTCTGTTCTCTATGTGTGTGTGTCACTGTATGTTTATGTCTGTTCTCTGTGTGTGTGTCACTGTATGTTTGTGTTTGTTCTCTATGTGTGTGCTTGTCACTGTGTGTGTGTGTGTGTGTGTGTGTGTGTATATATATATCTGTTCTCTATGTGTTTGTGTATTTCACTTTATGTTTATGTATTTTCTGTGTGTGTGTATGTCACTGTATGTGTATGTCTATTCTCTATGTGTTTGTGTATTTCACTGTATGTTTATGTTTGTTGTCTCTGTGTGTGTAGGTCACTGTATGTTTATGTCTGTTCTGTGTATGTGTCACTGTGTGCATGTCTTTTCTCTATGTGTTTGTGTATTTCACTGTATGTTTATGTATTTTCTGTGTGTGTGTGTGTGTGTATGTCACTGTATGTGTATGTCTATTCTCTATGTGTTTGTGTATTTCACTGTATGTTTATGTTTGTTGTCTCTGTATGTTTATGTATTTTCTGTGTGTGTGTGTGTGTATGTCACTGTATGTGTATGTCTATTCTCTATGTGTTTGTGTATTTCACTGTATGTTTATGTATTTTTGTTATGTGTATGTTTGTCGGTTTTGCCATTTACATGCCCTTTATAATAGATACAATATCACGTTATCTAGCTATGTATCTATCTATCCCCATACCATCACGTACATACATACATTGTTATACAGCTCACATATGTGTCTGGCTCTGCAGCAGCCAATCACCAGCTTCCTGCAGCCTGGAGTAAATCTGGAACATTCATTCATGATTTTTTTTTTCTATTCTCCATTGACTCATTCATGTTTTTTCCCCCTCTCCCTTCCATTCACCCTCCCTCCTTCCCTCCCCATTCACTCCCAGCAGGTCGGCTCCGCGCATGCGCAGCCCCGCTCCCCCTCACCTCCAGCCAGGGCAGGATTCTTATGAATGAACATTGACGTCAGAGAGGGCGGGTCCGGGCGTGATGGTGATCAGCACGTGATAAGAGGGGCTGGGTGGGTATTTAAAGCGGCCGCCGCTGTCCCTGGTGCTGAAAACTGCTTCAGAGGCAACAACAGTGGGAGAGAGCTCAGAGAGACAGAGAGAGACAGACTCAGCACCCAGAGACTGCACTGAGAGACAGACACAGCACTCAGAGACTGCACAGAACAAGTGAGACATCCCCATGGGGATTTGGGGGGATTTAAATTGATTATTGGTGGGCAGTGAGGGAGGGGGGCTTCTAAAAATACCCCACAGGTCCCTTTAATATCTCTGAATGGACATCACACTGTACAATGCAATATTAGCTGTATAGTGACCCTCTTATTATTGTGTTTAAAGACATCATTAGAATGTTGCATAGCACCACACATTTCATGTTTAACTTAAAAATCATATTAGTGCAAAACTTGATTTACCTATATCTTGGCAACAAATGTTTTTCGTACAATTCTCTCCGTACAGTAAGATGCATGATGTAGATTGAAATGTTTTGTGATCTCCTCCACCTGTATATGTTTGTGTAACTAATGATACAAAATGTATACACACCTTTTAAATAATGCCTATATACATTTAACAAAATATACATATTTTTTGCTATATATAGGTGTGAGGGTAATATATATTATACATAATTATATTCATGTTTCAAAGATTCCTTTAATGTATCCATTATATATATATATAAATATGCTCCTGTTTGAAAAAGAATTGAAATCAGAAAAGAAAATTAAAGTAACGTAAGAACTGTGAACAAAAATATATGTAAGAGTCTAAATTCTGGGAAGGGTTAATTAACAGTAAGGCATTCTGAATTTGGATAGTGGAGCGCAGCGCTTCATGTAATGCACTTGTTATATCTCTGTATCTCTGGCTATTATATTTTTATTGTGCTTGAAATAGCCTCGCTAAATATTATAGCCGTGCTATATTTGAAGGCTTACATAGCTATTTAAATGAGTGGGTTTTGAAATTAGATATAACTTCTGTATTAATGATTTATTGTCAGCGAGTGCATTGCTTTTTCGGAGCGAGGGAAACGCACGCTTTTTTGGCAAGTCTTTATTTGGCTGGTGACTATAGAGATCATATTGAATCAAATCTTAGAACAACCCATGAGATTCATTCTTGATCACATTCTAACAAAATCCCAGTTGGGTTTACTGACTAAAACTGGGAATAAATGGAAAACTTACAGTAAAAAATATATATATAAAACCTAGCCAATTTGTATTCTCTCCGGCAAAACACTTTTATAAACAGATACATTAATTCATTAATCAAAGGACCACTCAAACTATAAGAAAAAAAAAAGTGATATTTAGAACTAAATTAATATTACACCTGCCTAATTTGTGGAGGGGATAAGAGGAAAAACCCGCTACCACTTGAAGATACTAGAGCGCATTTGATGTAATTTAATGAGTTAAAAGGTAAAGGCGTAAGGAGGAAACAGATGTTTAGGATTCTGAATGGAATGACGATGTCCATACTTTCAGACAATAATTTAATATTCGGTCTGTGTCTCCACCAAATCAAATTGCCCATTTATTTCGTACTCGAGTGACGCGTACCCTTAATCAGACCAGAGGGCTTTAAATGTCGCTAATGAATGAAAAGATACAATGACGCAAGAAGTGACAGATCTCATTATATTGAAAACATCGTGGAACTCAGCCCCCTCCTTTCCCCTCATATATATATACATTTATATAAATACACAGACGTACATATTTGTACACCCCTGGTTTCGCTAAACTTTTAACTCACACATGTATTTGCAATGGGTTAAACACAGCATGACCATAAACATTTATTGAGCACCTATTTGATTCTATAAAAGTGGATTAATGTGGGGAAGGTAGGTTTACTGCCAGGATTCTACATTGATACATTTACGACTTGGCATTAGGAATTTCTGGGATTAAAAATGTCCAAATTAAAGTGTTCTTGTTTTGCCAGCATCACGAAGTGACAAAAAATATAGAGGAAAAATGATAGCGATATAAAGAGAACTAAAGTAATTTTACGGAAAGAAGTGAACGATATGTTTAAAAAAAAAAAAAAGCTTAGTAAGAGGAGGGAGATTACTTACATCAATAGAGCGATGTGGACAATGCAAAAGAGGACAAAAACAGGGCACTTGGAATAGGGACAAAGACAGTGGACAATTAAAAATAGACATTCTACACGTAAATAAACTGCAGGTGGACGGGGTAAAAGGAGCTTTTCCAGGACAAAAACTAAAGATGAATGAAAAATAGGAGAGGTGTAACAAGAGAGCCAGCTCAGAGCATCACCTGTAAGTGAATGGGAAAAGAGGAAAGGGTTAATACAGAGACCGAAGCTGAATAGAAAGAGAGGGAATGGGTTAAAGCACAAGGCAGACCGCTATATAGACTGCAAGTAAAGGCAAAGAGCAATAAGGGTTAATGTGTAGAGACTGCAAGTGAATGGAAAGCTTGGAAAGGGCTAAATAGAGATTCACACCTGTTTATTTGCTGCAGGCGAATGGAAAGAGCAGAAAGGGTTAAAGCGAGAGGCAGAAAATTATAGAGCAGGGGCAGGCAACCTTCAGCACTCCAGATGTTGTGCACTACAGCTCCCCTGATGCTCATGGCTGTTAGAGCATTGTGGGAGATGTAGTCCACAACATCTGGAGTGCCGAAGGTTGCCTGCCTCTGTTATAATGACTGCTAGTGAATGGAAAAAGCAGGAAGGGTTTAATAGAGAGATCAATCAACATATGCACCACTGATGAACGGAAAAAGTGGAAAGGGTTAAACAGACAGCACGTTAATGAAAATTGTGGACCAGATTGAAGGGAGACACCTTCTGTTAGATGGACCAGACCGCAGGTGAGAAAGTAAAAAGGGTTAAGTCAAGGTAGTAAATAGACAGCAGGTGAATTCAAAGTGTGGAAAGGGTTAATGAGCTTATTATTGGATATTATCTAGATCACAGGAGGATGGAAATAGCTGAAAGGGTTAATGGAATTATACTGGATATTTAACCCTAGTGAAAGGACAGCTGGTCAGAATGATGGTAGAATCAATGCAGCTATGTACAGGGGATAGGTGTTCGTTACAGTAGGGGATACGTTTCTAGTGTAAACAGTAGCACTGGGTGGATATTCAGACAGCACCGTGTGTAGTTATAGAATCATTTATAGTGAAAATGGGCAGCTCAGGGTTAAAGATTATTGTGTTGAAATTTGAGCAAATTACAGATAAAAGAGAATAGTATTTTGACCCCCTCCCTTTTAATGCAGCAGGGCAACCCCATGGAGAGTAAGATTGGGGGATTCCTTTCCACCAAGAGGAGGGGGTGTAGCCTCCCACACACTGCTCCCTCTGCAGTGTCTGATGCAGCATCCTCATGTAAAGCCAAGGTGGGGGAAGGGGAAATTAGAAAAGATGGAAAGGGTGGAGCAAGGGGGTCTCCTGTATTGGTATGCCAGGTTCCTATAGAAACAGGAACATATTGCAGATAGAATATCTTAAAATGTAGCATGTTCTGGACATCGCTAATCACGTACAGATACTCAGCAACAAAGAAATATCTGTCTATCTATCTATCTATCTATCTATGTCTGTCTGTCTGCAGTGATTTGCAGTGACATACCATAAGCATCTGAGTGTACATATGTTTTGACATAAGACCAAGAGTTAAGAGGATTGAAGACAATGGAAGGGGGATGCAGATCTAACAGGGAATCCCAGATTGTCAGACAGTGCTATGTCATTACACCAAGTCAGACAGGCAGTGTGACATCTGCATGTTCATAGATATGTGAACATTGTTGTTTGAAGAGTAATATTATTGAACTGCAGTTTTCTTGTATAAGAAGAATATAAAGATTCACGAGCGAACAGCAGAATTTTAAACCAGGAAGTGCACCAGGTTTGGACTGTAGGATCTCATACTGGGTCGTGATAAAGATTTGGTAGAGACTTGCTGGAAGGAAGGGGTTGAGTTGGGGGGAGACCTGCAGGATTCCCTCATTGGGAGTTCCTCAGTTCTCCTTTCTTTTTCCTCCTCCGTACTCCCACGCACACAGGCACATTTTCTGTTCCTCTCACTCGCTCTCTGTCTGGGTCCCCCTCCCCTTCAATAACCCACCCCCAGTCAAGCTCTCTATACACATTTCCAAGAAGAGGCAGGTCTCAACTGTAAAAAGTATAACCCATGATGCTGGAATGATTTTAACAACAAATAAATACCTTTTTTTCTCTCTCTCTCTCTTTCTTCCCTGATCCTCATCTCCTTCTTATCCTCTACAATCACCATTCCTCTCTTTTTATTTTGTCTTTTGATTTTTCTGTTGTTCATACTTCCTTTGCAAAACTATACATTTTATTGTCAACTCACTTCCTCTTCACTCGTTAATTTGCTTTATTTTGTTTCAATATGTATCTGCATCATCTATTTTTCATTCTCCATCTTCCCTCTTTTTATCAAACCATCCAGAAATGCTCCGTGCTCCCCCTTTCCTCCTCATCCTTTCCCTAAACCTCCTACATTCCATTTTCCTTCATGCCGTTCCTTTAGGTGAGGAGCAAATACATCAGATGACACATCAAAACTCTGCTAATGATCCAGTTTATTCCTCTAAACTTGAGGTTCACCAAGAAGCACCTCTTTCTCACAATCAACTAGAGAAGAGAGAAGATGCGTCTGATATCTCTACAACTCAGGTGCAGTCTCAGTCTGCATCAGATGATGGAGATGAACTTTTTAAAGATATTAGCCCCAAAGCTCTTGCAGCTGTACTTCTACAAGCACTCAATGAAGGGGGTGAAGAACAAGATTCTTCTACACTGGAAGACAGAAAGCCCTCAGAAAATGAAAAGCCCATAAAAGAGGAAGGGGCAGATGAAGAAATGACAGAGAGCATACGGAGCAAAACTCAAAGCCCTGAGAATGAGGATGTAAAGAGTGAGGATGAGCACTTAGGAAATGGAGAAGACATGGAGAGTGTGAAATCACTGTTACAGGAGTTGGAGAGTTTTGAACCACCGCCTAAAAGAGAGCAGGAACCTTCTCAGGACACCATCTCAGATAATGAGGATTTGGAGGAATTGAGGGAACTTCTGGGACTTGATGAATCAAAAGAGGAGGAAAAGAGAAACTCTCAAAAACCTCTTCCACACACTCCTAGAATGTGGGAAGAAGATAAAGAGGGTGAAAAATTGGCTGGGGTTGCCCAAGACCTCTTGCTACAGTATATTCTGAATGGAGGAGAAAATGAAGGAGAACAGCAAGAGGAAGAAGGAGAAGAAAAGGAAGAAGAACAGGATGAAGATTACCAAGGAGGGGACTTTATTGGTGGTCAACGACCTCTCTTTGAGGATGAAGAAGGCGAGAATATTCAGGACAAGAGATCAACAGAGGATGACATAGATGAAGTAGACCCCCAAACCATCGATAATCTAATTGAGTTGTCTACCCGCTTGCACCTCCCAGCTGATGATGTTGTTGATATAATTAATGATGTGGAGAGGAGGAAGAGAAGGAAAATGAAAAAGAAGAAGGCCCGAGATTATCTACCAAGGAGGAAGGATAGGACAAGGACACCTCCACAATCCTGGCCTGACACCCCTAAACCTGTCTACTACCCAAGAAGGAGACTGGATCAACAGCCAATGTGGAATAAAGTATCAGAACCTGTGTGGAAAGTACCAGACTACAACTGGAAAAAGATGCAACAGGCATCCTGGAAAAAAGTTTATGAGCCATCCTGGAATAGGGCAAAATCACCATCCTGGAAAAAGGTTCCACAGCAAAGTTGGAATAACCTTCCGGATTCAAACTGGAATAAGGTTCCAGATTCAAACTGGAATAAGATTTCCGATTCAAACTGGAATAAGGCTTCCGATTCAAGCTGGAATAAGGCTTCCGATTCAAATTGGAATAAGGTTCCAGATTCAAACTGGAATAAGGGTTCCGATTCAAACTGGAATAAGGTTTCCAATTCAAACTTGAATAAGGTTTCCGATTCAAACTGGAATAAGGTTCCAGATTCAAACTGGAATAAGGTTCCAGATTCAAACTGGAATAAGGTTTCAGATTCAAACTGGAATAAGGTTTCAGATTCAAACTGGAATAAAGTTCCAGATTCAAAATGGAATAAAGTCCAAGAATCAAAGTGGAATAAGATGCAAGAGCCAAGTTGGAACAAGATGCAAGATTCAGATTGGAATAGTATTATGAATCCAGTCCCTCGCCGTTATCGCACCCGTCCCTCCTCATTCAACAACTATATTCGTCCAAGGGCCTTCCAATATCCTCCACGATATTACTACAAACCCCCTATTCCACGGAGGGATGACTACTACGATGATGACCAAGACAAGCAAGAGGAGATGGAGAACTATATTGAAAGGATCCTACTGACTCACCCTGAGGTCTTCCAGTGATAAAAAGCCCCAATCCTGAAGCCCATCTATTCTGTTTAACAACTTGTCCCAGTTAAAGAATCCTATGCCATTCAACACAAACCAACTGAAAAAATGAGCATCTTAATTTATTTAAAATCAGTTGAACATTCATCCAAGTAGTAGTGAGCTCAACTGACCAAGCACAGACTGTGTATATAAATATATACACATATCAATGTAAAGTTGTGTATGCGAGTACCTGAAAGTATCGGTGTTTCAACCAGACATTGCAATTATCAATAATACCACCCTGGTCTAGAATTAGAATCATTAAAAAAGTGAAATTTGAACATCAAACTTCCCAGATTACATAATGTGCAAAACTCAAGGAACCAACCTAACTCAAACTAATAATATGGTTCAATTATGCAATTCTAGTTTTGGTCCTTATCCGGGTTATTTAAGAACACATTAATTTTGGGGGATAGGGGATATATCACTTGGAAGCCTTATGTTGTATTGATAAACAACTTCCCATGAATTACAAGAGCTTAATATTCTGTCTATGTGATGTGTTAATATATTTTAAGATGGTTCTGATATTTAAAAAAATATTTCAGAAAGCACAATTCATATATTTAAAAATGAGTCCCAAATCTGTCACAGTTGTAAAGAAATATAAAGTTATTTAAAAAAAAATGACTACAAATTGTCTGTAAAAAAAAGGGTTTGGTACATGGCTTAAATCATGGCCCTTTCTCTACAAAAAAAAACAACTTTTAGTAATTGACATGCAGATGTGGTTATTATTCAATATATCTAAAAGTCTGGTGAACCATTTTAGAATCATTTACACAATATGTAGACAGATTTTTTATTCTGCCGAATAAAATAAATTTTTGTCAGGTAATTCAACTAATTTAATGGACTTACTGAAGGAATTGTACTACGGTATTGTAAGTTGGTTTCAGTGACATAAAAGGACCTTCGTATGTTGACTCCATGGAGTAAGTAGTAGAAATTAGACGCTATAACTTGTTCCGGATCAATTCATCTTCTGAACTGTGAAGCTCCAAAGCTCAAAGTCTTCTCTAAAACCAAAATCCACACCCATAGTACTCTAAAAGGAAAAAGCAAAGAAACATTTAAGACAATTGCACTAAAGACAATTGGGTTGATATCTGAGGAGATTTGTCCATGGTCCTGACCACCCACAACCCTACAGCCTGGAGTACATTAGCTACAATTTTGAAAGCTTTGGATCCCAGCAGAGGGTTTAATATAAATGATGTCCAATAGGTTGAGAGATAAGGACATTATTTTTATGCCTTTCCTTTCTCAATTTGAGCACAATATTTTTTAGTCCCCCATGTCCTCCCCCAATCAATAAAAATGAGAAAAAATGGAAATAAATTTGTTATAGTAGTGTCTCTGCATTTGAGGTACATTGCCTCTGCTGCCCCTCAGTTCATGCCTGAGTACCCTATATCAATGGGCTTGCATGTTGTATCCTCTCTAGTGTCTTGGTTGCTGTAGACCTTGTGTAATTATGTCAGTGTTACATTGCTAATAAAGAGCTTTCTCTTCTCTCATGTTTGTACATACCACATGAATACTTTTGCTAACAAAATAAAGCTGACTATTTTATTATGAGTTATAGTTGTTATTTTGGCCCATAACAAGGTCATGGGCCTTTCGGAGTGTCAAATAATATAGATTGGGAAAGATTACACCACTAATGACACGGGAGGGATTTAGACTTTTTTATTTTTTTATATTACGAGATGGAAGTGGGAGGGAGTGACTTGTCTCTTTTTCCAATGCAGGGGACACAAAAGGGTGTTAAGAGTCTGTCGCTTACCCGGCACAATCTATGATTACAATATTCACACAGCGGAGGATGACATGGTGACACAGAAGAGAGAATCAAGTATGATTATAGCCGTCACAGGTTGACACAGATATAATTGAGCTCTGTGTTTTTCTCTCCTCAGAATGTGTTACAGACAGAAAGGAGATACAAGTGACACTTTGACAAATCAATTAATGCAATGGTTTATGCAGGATCTAGGAGAGAGTCTTATACCATCCATATTGGGATTGTGATACAGTTAGATAATAACGGTATCTTTTTTAGCACAGTCACAAAGGGTCACATAAAGAGGATGCTATGATTTTAACATTCAGGGTGACACAGTGACACATACAGAAGGAGCTATGAGTCCGTCCCTCCCCCTGCAGGGTGACACAGTGACACATACAGAAGGAGCTATGAGTCTGTCCCTCCCCCTGCAGGGTGATACGATGACACAGACAGAAGGAGCTATGAGTCCATCCCACCCCCTGCAGGGTGACACGGTGACAAAGACAGAAGGAGCTATGTGTCTGTCCCTCCCCCTGCAGGGTGACACAGTGACACAGACAGAAGGAGCTATGAGTCTGTCCCACCCCCTGCAGGGTGACACGGTTACACAGACAGAAGGAGCTTTGAGTCTGTCCCTCCCCCTGCAGGGTGACACAGTGACACAGACAGAAGGAGCTATGAGTCTGCCCCTCCCCCTGCAGGGTAACACGGTGACACAGACAGAAGGAGCTATGAGTCTGTCCCTCCCCCTGCACGGTGACACATTGACGCAGACAGAAGGAGCTATGAGTCTGCCCCTCCCCCTGCACGGTGACACATTGACGCAGACAGAAGGAGCTATGAGTATGACCCCCCCACCTCCCTGCAGGGTGACACAGTGACACAGACAGAAGGAGCTATGAAACTGTCCCTCCCTCTGCAGGGTGACACAGAGAAAATGAGCTATGAGTCTGTCTCTCTCCCTGCAGGTCATAGGCATTACTACAATGGTCCAATTGCCCACCTATATCACGCCTGGCTCCCTGCGTGCCCTCATTGAACTTCTATAACTTTAAGGCAGCCAGTTTATCCTCATGTAGATGGAGGCAGCTTGTGTTCTCCCTGCCAGATCTCTTCTAAGGCTCCTGGAGTAGGCGCTATGTGTGGAATTAGAAAGAGTGTGTGACATCACATCTCTTCCTCTATCTACACACTTCTAGAAGGCTCCCACTGCATGTGTCAGATGTGGGGAAAGGCAGGTCTACCTGCAGGAGAAAACATCTCTTTGATGGCTACAAAGGCTACAATGGCATGCTGCTGAGAGGATGGAGAGAAAAAAGGCACATGGGTAAGATCTGCACCTACTAAAGCCCTGATTACCCCCTGCACTCACTACTGCCCCTAATACCCCTTATGTTTACTACAACCCCTAGGATCCCCTGCAACCATAACAACCTATATTACCCCCTATGGCCCCTATCTCCCATGTAGCCACTACATCCCCCAGCACCCATTACAGCCTCTAACCCTTCTCTATGCCCACTACACACCTGCAATCAATACTCATATGATTTATATGTGAAAATTATTAGAGTCCTCCCCCCTAAATTTGACTAGGTTATCTTTGAGCTCCCCCATTCATTGTTCCTAGAGTCCCCACTTCTGCAGGTTGACAGACTGATATACACAGAAGGACCTGTGATACTGTCCTTCCCCTGCAAGGTGACCCAATGATGTAGACAGAAGATACTATGAGTTTGTTCCTCCTCATGCAGTGTGACACAGATAAAAGATGCTATGAGGTATACAAAGTTCTATACAATGGGTAGACTAATTAACCCTTTTGTGACGCTAGGCGGAAGTTTTCCGTCATGCTTGTCCTACCGTTAAGGACGCATGACGAAAAATGTCTGTCATTTACTAAAGTTAACCCCAGATCTCCGCGATTGCGGGGTTAACGCCCCTCTGGTGCTCTGCCTCGGTATTCGAGACAGACCGGGAGCACCCGACCGCGCAGTCCCTGCAGCTGTGATCACTCTGACATGCTGTCAGGGCGAGCACATGTGCTGCAGGGACTCCTCGTCCACCTCCCTGCGCTTGCGTTGTCAGTGTGAAGTGCAGGGAGACAGATCAGTGCTGATCATCTTTACTTGGTGTAAAAAACATTAATTAAAGTTAAATCCCAGCCCCCCCCTTTCCCTGCTTTAATACAATTGAACCCTACAATTAACCCCTTCGCTGCCAATTGATCACTGACTACAGTGATCAATTGGAAGGGACTACATTTTACTGTGATCTGATATTCAGTACATACTAATTGTTGTATCCAAATGATCAGGACTAAGTGGTGAAAAAATATATCAATTGCACAAAAAATGCCTCTATTAAGCAGGATCTATGTAGATCGCCTGGTCACCTTAAAGTCCCTAAAAGATTATCGGAACAAAAGTACTGTGGGAGGAGAGGAAAGAGTGTAGCACGTGCCTATGGTTAGGTTTAACAGATAAAACTAATGTGCCTTCGTGGGCACCCCTTATAAAATGCCTGCTCTAACACTAGTCCCCCTGATACAGCAGCAATATAGCAAAGATAATAGAAAATAAATGAATAGTAATATTAGTGAATAATGGATTTTCATTCAGTCGCAGGATGCCCATATAGAGTAAGATAACTCGCAAAGTATCGGCAGTGCTGGTTAAGAGCATGAATATTGCCGACTAGGCGTCCTAAAACCCTAATATTACTATTCATTTATTTTCTATTATCTTTGCTATATTGCTGCTGGTACCTGTGGCACGTATGCCATAGGTTTGCCATCACTGCCTTAGACTAACTGTCTAGCCCAAAGTAAACGGTAAAGACTGACTGCTGCTTCGAGGCAGCCTAGCAATATCCCTAAGAACCTATAGAGATACTCCAGTTAGAGAACAACTGCAGACATTGTGGGAGCCCAGGTATGTAAAAATAAAATAGAGAGAAAATAAAACTCAATCAAAGTAGATGCATCGGCCAGAAGAAGCTCGACGCGTGTTTTGGCGTTTCCATACGCCTTTGTCAAGAACTAACTGATAAATAAACTAGGAACCGTTTATAAAGGAAAGTAGACATCCCCCCCGATCATAAGTCTCCAATCCGTACATGCGAGTGAGTTGAGGGTTGGTCGGTACGTAGCTTGTTCCCTCCTCTTATTGCCAGGACCTATAATGATGAAGGTGGGCGTGATACAAAATCACCCAAGTCTCTGGGGAGGGTATACTCGTCCATTCGTAAAAAGTAAATAAATAAATGAATAAATGACTGGATAATAACTAGATAAATTGTATATAATCAGGTAAGTATGACAGTAACTAAAGTGTCACACTGGGGGTGGATAGAGAGCACTCATCCACCCAATCACATCGGAGTGATCGCTGACAAAAGGATACATAATGGTCGCTGCCATAAAAGGAGAAAAAATACTAAGGAACTCCAGTGTCCCTTATTGTAAATATACATGAGTGTATCAATGGAGTTATTTATCTGACTAGGAAACCCACAATGTAAGGATTCCTTATAATAGGGTACATACAAATGAAACATAAGCAGAGGTCACTGTCACAGTATGGGAGGTAGTGAAATCAGGGACACTATAAAGCTCACATGTTGAGCAGACCCATGAATTAAATTATTATCTTCCCAAATTACGTGACAAGGAGACTATGTAGCCAAAGGTTAAGTATAACTCAAGGGGTAAATATTAGAGGACGGTATATGTATAAATTGGAGCCCCCACCAAAATAAACTTTAAATATCAGATTGTGGAGTACAGAGATAGGGGTGACAGGGATAGGAGCGGATAGATTAAGCAGTTGGCTCTCCACTCTACCGGAGGCAGAGATAGTGTAAAGAGTCTCCAGTAGGGGTATATTCAATACAAATCTCTTAGAACTATGCCCCCATTGTTCAGATATAAACTCGTAATAGAATAGTTAAATAGAATGGCTAATAAGTAAATGCATTAGGTGTATAATGAACGGATGTTAAAGGTTACTACGAATATATCGGGGGGGGGGAGGGGGCAAAGATACATCAATAAAAGTGTAGCGGTCCTAGAATCAATATACTGGTTTTATAAGGTTACTGATTACCATGAAATGTATACTAGAAATGATCACTAGTAATAAAATCACTAAGTAGTGGTTGAGGCGGTTGAGAGGAGAAAGAGAAAAAGAAAAATAAGAAAAAAGCACACTATATACAAAATATATACAAAATATACACACTATACAGATACTACAGAAAACTCCCATAAGTCAAATAAATGGAGAAAAGGAAAACCCTTCGTTTAGACCTCTGGGATTGAGGGTGTTGATCTTATAAATCCACCTGCACTCTTTTTGGTGTAGGATTTTGTCGAAGGCCCCCCCGTCTTTGTTCCCGCTTGACTAACTCTAAACCACAAAAACGTATATCCTTAGATGACCCACCGTGGGTTTCCTTCAGGTGTCTGGGGATTGGGGTATCCAAGTGTTTTTTTGGGGATCTAACATGTTCCTTAATATGTCCTTTAAATGGCTGGAAGGTTTTGCCAACATACATCAATTTGCAACTGCAGGTGAGGAGATAAACCACCCTTGCCGAGTTACAGTTTAAAAAATGGGTGATCTGGAAAGACTGTTTGCCTTCACTGTCACTCACTCTTTTTGAATCTCTAAGGATGTATTTACAGGCCACACATCTTCCACAGCCATATGAACCTACAGGAATCTTCCGTCCAAGCCACGTAGTTTTTGGATTTTGCTTGATCGTAAAGTGTCTAGGAACTAGA